AAGAAAATGAGAACCGAGGCACAAATGCAGACTTGTACACCAATATTCATATCAATGTTATTCATTTTCTCAAGGACATGGAGACAGCCCAAATGTCCAACTGTAACTGAATGAATTGAGAAAGTATGGTATATTCACATGATGGAATATGCAACAATCAGGAGCAACAATTTAGTAAATCATTACGGGACTTGGTAGGGACTGGAGAGTATTATGCTAAATGAACTAACTCAGTTCCATAAGCACAAATATTGACAAGACTATCATAGAATGTATATGTGGATCCAAGGGGAGGAGGGGGGAGCAGAGGGGCGAGGATGAGCAGGGGATGGGGATGGGGTGGTTAATCACAGGGCCACACAATTTGATGGGCAGAGGGAAGATTGGGTAAAGGAAATGGAGAAGATGTGGAAAGAAAACAATGTATATGAACTTTGAAAGTAAACCCATGCAAAATCAATATTTTATTAAAAAATAATTAATCACCATTGAACTAGAAACAAAAAGATATTTGCAATGACTAAATCATTCAACATTTGCAATTTTAAAAAAAGAAATGAGGATCAAGTTTATCCCTTTTGAGTTTCGTTTCCAACTCCCGTTCCTTGCACGTTCCTTTATTATACTTTGCTTTGTCTTCCTGAGTCGTCCTTTGAAATCTTCTGTTCAGTTAACTTTTTATTGTATCAGTAAATTTTTATTAACAAGAAAATTTTCCCTCAGTTCACATAACTTACATTTTTAAAAAATTACACAAAACAACTTTTATCAAATAATGTTATTCAACAATGTTTTGTTTGGCTGAAATGTTAATTTCAATTGTAACATCAAACTTTAGGTAATTTTTTTCTTATTTTTTCCTTTTACTTTGGCTTTTCTAGTGCAATATTCAGTTTCTTCTAACATCTGTCTTGTTTTTTTTTCCTTTTTCCTCTGTCTTTGTAATGACCTTTTTCATTCTTCATGAATGATAATCTTGATAAGTCTCTCAAAGCTCACCTGGTCTTCACTCATTAGTGTTCAAGGCCTCAAACCTGTTCCCTGAGATGATTTTTAAATTCAGATGGGACAGTAATTAAGGATGCTCTTAAACGAAATCTACTAATGAGAATATGATTAAGCCTACATAGTAGTGCCTAGCCATTATACTGTGAATTGTTTAAAATATATTAAATATCAAGAGTTAAATTATCAACCTGTCTTCCACAAATATGAAGAACAATGTGGATTGAAATTTTGAGTTACTGGTAAATTAGTCATGAATTTTGAAATGAAAAATTCTATAAATGGAATGATAATATATCAATAGAGATAATAATACGAATTAATTGCAGAAAGTTATTTAGCATCTTCTGTGTAACGCACACCTCCCCCCCACAAAAAGCTTCCTCATTGCCATTTTTTTGTAACCAACTTATCGTTAACTCTCCACTGGTCTTCCAGGGGTGTAAATTATATGGAAGGAGATTGCACATCTTTCTCCTACAGAGCTGCTGATAGAGTCAAAACACAGGAGAGGCACAGCCTTTGATTAGCGATGTATCTCTCAAGGACTCCAGTACTATTGTTAAATGCTGTCAAGTACAACTCATAGAGGCTCTATTATCTGAAACCTGTCTTATCCCGTGTCATTCTTACAATCTGTGACACACTTGACCCCATTGCTGCAGTCAATGTCAATCCATCTGCTTGAGGGTCTTCCTCTCTTTTGCCTACCCTCTACCTTCCCAAGCATGATATCCCTCTCCAAAAAATAGTCTCTCCTAACAACATGCTCAAAGTATGTGAGACGAACCTTTGCCATTCTTGCCTCTATGGAGCACTCTGGCTGTACTATCTCCAAGATTATCTATTTGTTCTTTTGGTAGTCCATGAGGTATTCAGTACTCTTCTCCAACACTACAGCTCAAAGGCATCAATTCTTATATTCCTTATTCATGTCCAGCTTGATGCATAGCAAGTGATTGAAGAGACCACCACCTGGATCAGGCGCACCTTAGTCTTCAAACTGATATCATTGCTCTTCCATAATTTGGAGAGATCCCTGACTGCAGGCTTTCCCAGTGCAGTACATCTCCCTATCTCTTGACCTGTGGTACCAAGCATATGGATTGTATCTCCAAGCAAGATGAAGTGGTTGACAGTTTGAATCTTCTCTGTCTGTCATGATGTTGCCTTTAGCTCAAGAGGCGAGGACTTTTCTTTTCCCTGATCTTGAGAATGCAATTCATTTTGAAGGCTGAAAGCTTTGATCTTCTGCATCAAGTACTTTAAGCTCTCCATATTCGGGGGAAAAAAGGATCAGCAGTTATTTAATATTCCATTTAATATCCAGTGATTCATAGAGAGAAACAACTCTGTTTGCATTTTTTATAACATTTAAAGCATTTTTGTAAATATAGCACTTGCATACTCATGAATTGTTTGGTGGAGCTCCCCGACTGAAACAATCTTGGAAGCAAGAGTGACAGCCAGTTCCAGAAACAGCTTGCTTCTGGAAACCCTGTGAACTTGGAGCAACAATGAACGTTATACAAGTGTTCAGGTTTTTCATTCATAGAGTTGCTATGAGTCACCTACGATTCAACGACAATTAACAACAACAACATAGAGAGAGTTCAGTTGGCCTAGAGGACAGAAAATGATGCTACCAAGCCAAAGGTGGGTGATTTTAATCTGCTGCGGACTTTAGGCTTGGTTTTAACTGTGTTTGGTCAAGCATTTTTCTAAGTGGTATAGCACTGGTCTGTCCATTTGCTGTACAAAGGTAACTCATGTTTGCTGTGATGCTGAACACTGTGACCCTGATGTGTCAAACGTGATAATGGTTTCTCATGGTGGACAGTGTTTGGTGGAGCTCCCTCATTAAAACAAACTTGGAAGCAGGAGCGGCATCCACTTCCAAATTAGCTTACCTCCCGAAACCTTACGAACCTGGGGAGAGGATGAAAGTTATAAAGTGTTCAGGTCTTTCATTCATAGGGCCACTACTCGACAACAGTTAACACAACAACAACATACTCATTAATTGTATTTTTACAAAATTATTACCAGGCATCCTGATATTACTAACAAGAATGAGATGCTTTTATTGTTTTTAGTTAGATGTTGTTTGTAACTTTTGACTCAAAGTGATTTTACGTACAATGGAAAGAAACCATGCTCATTTCTGCCCATCATCCCAATTATTGCTGTTTAAGCCCATTTTTTTTTTTTGCAGCTGTTGTGACAATTCATCTCCTTGAAGGTCTTCCTCTTTTTTTACTGATTCTCTATTTTATCAACCAAGATCACTCATGAGGGCTTGATCCCTCCTGATAATACATCCAATGCCATTTCCACTTCTAAGAACCATTCAAGCGGTACATTTTTGTTGGATTGTTGTTTTGTTTTTTGTGTTTTCTTTTTTATGTTGTAAGTTTTTGAAGAAACATTTTGTTTGTTTGTTTTGTTTTCTGATGGTCCGAGGTATACTTACCTCTTCTTCACTGAAGCCATAATAAAACAATCAATTCTTCAGTCTCTTCTTCTACTTCTTCATGCATGTGAGGCAATTAAAAAATACCATGACTTAGTCCTCCAAGTGACATCATTGCTCTTGAACACCTTAGAAAGCTTCTTTGCAGCAACGTGTGCAACGCGTGATTTCCTTTACCTTTTCTGCTGTTGATTCTGTTGACATGGACTATAGATCCAAGTAAAAGAAATCCTTGACAGCTTCCATCTGTTTTTCTATGTAGCACAATGTGATCTATTGATCCAATTAGAAGAGTTTTTTTATTTCTAAAATTTGAGGTGTTTTTAGTTGTTCATAAAGAAGGAAGATGTGGATCCGAGGGAAGAATGTTTGTCAATTTAAGAAAGGTGAAAAATGGAACATGAGCAGAAACAGGGAAAGACAAAAAAAAATCGTAGCTGTATGGTGTTACAGGAATAAAGAATCAACTATCATAAATTCTCCTTGCCTATTGTCTTGATCCTTACACACTCGCATTGTCCTGGGATCAACAGGACAATGAAAGTGTTTGTTTAATGAGGAACTTTATAGACTCAACCCCTAGAGATACAGAAATGGCAAATAATCTGCCTGTGACCACTTCACACAATAACCCTCCCTTGGGCGGGAAGCGTCACACCTGGGACTCCACTCACAGCTGGTCCTTTTCGCTCAGGTGCTTTATTTGGCCCCTCTGTGTTTCCTGCAGACCCGTTTTCCACCTTCCTCACACAGGACAGATGTCAGGTATCATTCTTCAATGATACTGGCCAGGTAACATAAAATGGATTAACTTATATATGGAAATTAGAGCAAGTGTTTAATATTATAGATTCATGCAGGGGAAGTTATTAATAAGACACATGCATAAATTTATTGAAACCAAGTCACTCATAGGATACCTCATAAACTATCTGCTCTCTTCTTGAAATTTTTTTTCTTTTTATCTTAGCTTCATGCTCATGCAGCTCTCGCTCTGCTGGTCCCCTCTCTCAATAACGACAGAGACTATTCTTCTTGAGAAAACAAGATGATTATTGTTCAATTTTTCGACAGTTTCCGGCATTCTTCTTGTTTAAGGCGTGAAGGGAAGAATCAGTGAGCTTCATCCAATGTTTCCATTTCTTGTTAACATTTTTATGTCTTGTATGTTGTCAGCCTTTAATCTGTGACAGAAGAGATGGAGGTCCAGACAGACACTCTGGGATGCTCCTGTTGTGTATGTTTGTCTTTATAAAATTACCAAATTTATAAATGCCTATACCAGCATGGGGTGCAAAAAGTAAAATAAATCATCAAAACAAAATCATAACCTCTAATTTATGCCCTTGCAGAATGCTCTATCAGAAACTATTCTCTAAATAGTAAAATACTCATAATAAGAACACCTCCCTTTGTTTTACTGTTTAAGCTTCTACTTTCTCTCCGAAGATGGTATTGACTTCTGATGATGCTTCTGCCACTGGTCTAGAAACTACACATTATATTTTGTCATTGTATCTTTTCTATCATATACATCAATATGGACACCAGAAATCAAACAGGTATTTCAGAATTCCTTCTGCTAGCACTGACAGAGGACCCGGGACTGCAGCCCTTTTTCTTTAGCCTGTTTCTGTCCATATACCTTGTCACTGTACTGGGAAATCTGCTCATTGTCCTGGCTGTCATCTGGGACTCCCACCTCCACAGCCCCATGTATTTCTTTCTTGCCAACCTGTCCTTTACTGACGTCTGCTTAAGCACAACCACAATCCCCAAGATGCTGGTCAGCCTCCAAGCACGGAATCAGAGCATCGCTTACACAGACTGCCTCTTCCAGGTCTGCTTCGTCCTGATTTTTGTTGCTCTGGAAAGTTTTCTCCTTGGAGTAATGGCCTATGACCGCTACGTGGCCATTTGTCACCCCTTGAGGTACACTATAATTATGAACCCCCGACTGTGTGGCCAACTCATTCTACTCTCCTTGTTCATTAGTGTAGTGGATGCCATGCTGCACAGTCTGATGGTATTGCGACTGTCTTTCTGCACAGACCTGGAAATCCCTTACTTCTTTTGTGAGCTTGTTCAGGTTGTCAAGGTAGCCTGTTCGGATACCCTTATCAATAACATCCTCTTATATTTGGCAGCTACTGTATTAGGAGGTATTTCTATCTCTGGAATAATTTTCTCTTATACTCAGATTATATCTTCCGTTTTGAGACTGTCATCAGTGGGTGTGATGCATAAAGCTTTTTCCACATGTGCGTCTCATCTCTCCGTTGTTTCTTTGTTCTATGGGACAGGCTTGGGTTCATATATTAGTGCTGCATTTATACACTCTACCAGGAAGACTGCAGTAGCTTCAGTGATGTATACCATGATCACCCCCTTGATGAATCCCTTTATCTACAGCCTGAGAAACAGAGACGTGAAAGATGCCTTAAGAAAAATGATCAGGTATATATACCTGCTTTTCAGTAATTCTATTACCTGCCTGAGCTTGGGTTTCTAGATTGCACCAGAGGGAAAGAACACGTGTGAGATAGAATGCCTGACCCTTACATTATCAGGTTCTTCTAAAATGACAAAAAAATCATTATGGCCAAGTGAAAGCCAGCTTGGGTTTGAAATTTTACTTTGCTGTTTGTGCAGCTCTATAGTACTGGACATATTATTTTAACTCTTTTCAGCTCAGTTTCTTTTTATGTCTTTTCGGAGTTCATTCTCAGAATTTAAAAGCCAGAAAAAGAGCAAAAGAATGAGAAAAGAGTTTGTGTAAACCTGTGTGCATAGCCAGAAACTGGCTTCAGCCTGATGCCATGGACAGAGAAATGTGAATGGAGAAGCAGGCTTAGTGCCACTAATAGACAGCTGACCTTTCATGTCTGAATTTAGTTATTGTCCTGGCATTGCACTGTTAAACCATATGGATCCAGGAGAATATGAGCATCCTCAAAACTCAGCTTAATCATCTGTTGATTTGCACAGAATAGGATTGTTGTTCTCCAGAGGTGTTGCTGGCTGGTTTATTGTAGAAATAGATACACAAAGCTTTCTTATTTTATCTTAATGTAGAAGGCTTCCTGAAGCCTGTTTAGCAGTGTCCCTACACTCAGTGGTTCCCTGACAATTAGTGGCTGCACATGAGATTCACTGGCAAAGAGTAGAACCTGGGTCTCCCACATGGAAGGTGAGAATTTTACCACCGAATGACCATTTTCCCCAGTCTAAGCTCCAAAACTGGCATTTTTTTTTATCATTCAGCAGTTTCAGATGATTGGGTGATAATGGAATCTTAGCTTGTAATAATAATAAACTCTGGCTCTCAAATGCCTAAACCTTATAGAGAATTCTTTTCATTATAATTGATTCTATTTTTAAGAGAAATGTCTGTGGAATCACAAAGAAGACACTCCTCCCAGCTTATCACTATGAAGAGCACATGTGTCTCTCTAATCAAATTTCTAGTAAGAGAAACATTATTATCAACACCTTAGAGTGACTATGTGATATTTTCTGCTGGGAAATGAACCCTTATAACCACTATAAGCATGTTATATAATGTTTTGTGCACAATATTCAATAAAATTTAATAGTATGATTGTGGCTTATATTGTGTCTCATGATTTGTAAGTCTTTATTCCAGTGTATTGCTATCACTTGTTTCAGTAGTTTTATTGGTTTACATTTTAAAAGGTATCTATTACCAGAATTTGTTGGTCTTAGCAATAAAATCCATCCATAGGCAAAATTGACAATATTTTATTTGGTTTGATTAATTTTTGTTGACTTAGAGTTAAGAAGATTTTTTCCTCTATAATAAAAGGCCAGAAACATATCTATCTCTCTCCCCCCTCATCTATCTATCATCTATCTATCATCTATCTATCATCTATCTATCTATCTATCTATCTATCTATCTATCTATCTATCTACCTATCAATTATCTATCATCTATATCTGGTGGTCTATTGGCAGAAAGCTGCATTGGAATTCTGCATGCGTGTGGTTCAAGTCCACCAGCTACTCTTCAGTGGAAGGATGGGCAATCTCCTCTTGTGCAATTAACTGCCTCTGAAAACCCACTGGAGGGTCAGTTCCAACTCAATAGTACACAACAACAACTATTTATGTGTGTGTGTGTTTTGTTGTTAAGTGTTGTTGAGTCATAAACAACTCATAGTGATGCTATGAATGAAGGATCTGAGCATTGTTCATAGAGTTTCCAGAGGCAAGCCGTTTCGGAAGTGGATGCCACTCTGGCTTCCAAGCTTGTTTTCACTGGGAAGCTCCACCAAACACTGTCCACCATGGGTCACCATCATTGCGTTTGACACATCAGTGTCACGGTGTTTAGCATCACAGAGAAACCACAAGTTACCTCTGTACAGTAATGCACAGACCAGTGTATATATAATGTGTATATATATATA